AAGATATGAAAAAGGACATTTAATAAATTATTTTATTAAAAAAATTTTATACCAATTTGTGAAACTATATTTCGATTGAAAAAATCAAAACATTTCTGTTTTTTCTAAATTTTAGAAAAATTTACAGAGACTCTCGCTTTGGTCTGTTAAACTAAACAATAAGAATTTTTAATTGTGTTACTTAAAATCATTTTGTACCGAATGATTTTGAAGAATCAACGCTACGCTATAAAATTTTTTCAATTTTTCTTTATTTTGCGAATCGTTCAATAGAGACAATTGTTTCCCGATGCTCGATGACACTTTCTGGTCGGTGACGTCAAAAATATATCGGATATGTAGATTCCTTTCACTCCTCAACCGGAAATTGAATGCGTCGAAGTGAAAACTAAAATACCAGCTGGTTGGCTTAGCGTGAGAAATTAATACTCCAGTTGAGAACGTTTATACGTCTTGGAGGAGAATTCAAGAAAATTGTCTTGGATCTGAGATGCGAGATTATTGTTTTATCATTGGATTCAATACATCGTACGTCTTTCGAAAGGTTTGGATCGTATGTTAATTCTTCGAAATGTTGCACCGATCATTGTATATCGATGAATTTTAATACCTGAAAAATATTGAAGATGTGGTTCTTCTTCATCGAGAATACATGTTTCTAAGATTGCGTTATTTTCTATTATTAGAATGTGTCTGATCGATATATTCTTCTTAAATTTTTATCTCCCAAGTGAATAAAAAGAATTTAAGTAATACGTTTTATAATCATTTTATAGTGAACATTTTCAATGTTTTTTAATTTATTATTTAAACTGAGAATGTACAGTATATTTATTTTCATATAGTTTCATCATCTAATAAATAAAAATGAATTAAAAGTTTATATATATATATAAAAGGAAAATGACAAATTATTCAAGATATACTTTAAAATTCTCATTCAATTTCAATTTTGAAATCTACAGGATAAGACAGAAACAATTTTACTCCGATTAAAAATTATTTCTAACCATAGACTCTATCTTTTTTTCCATCTTCGTAATAGAGAAGCTCGTTCGCGTGTAATACGGTCTGTGCTTTTAGAAAACGACTCCACCATCGAGATGCGAAACAACTAAAAAGCAAAAATCGTAATTAGCTGCGAGAACCGAGTAATTACCTGGACGTTCACTTTACGAGACGTTTGTGCATTCAGTTGGCATCGTTACAACAATTTCCATTTTCTCGGTCGAAGTTGAGTGAAAAAAAAAAAAAAAAAAAAAAA